CCACTGCAGCTTCAATCTCGTCTCGCGTATTCACCTGGGGTACTGGCCCAGCGAAGTCGTCCACTGACATCGAGTATTTCAACCAGTTGATCTTACGCGAGACGGATGGCTCGTCATGAAAGTCATCCCCCAGGTGAAGGACTACTGGGTTATGATCAGAGCTCAGCTCGTCCAGGACATCAATGGTAATGCTGTGAGTCACATCCTTAAGGATGGCAATGTCTAAGACATCAGGTCTACCGATCGGACCGTAATGGGTAGGAGCGTCAGGCCCGATCACCATGATGTCGGTGTCGTTCATCAGAGCGCGCCCACTCGCGTTAATAGCTCGACTGTTCCAGGTTGGGTGCTTGGCGTTGAGATCGCCAGCAATGACTATAGCACCATTGAAATCTATCATTTTTACCAGGTCAGGGACTGGGAGTCTTTTGTTGGGAGGGTGATGTACAGCGTATAACTTTAACGTGCCAGGTTGATTCAATCCTGTGGTCTCAATCAGGATTGGACCAGGGAACGTGAATGTTTGGTGATTGATGTTTCGTTTAACGAATATTGCAGTGCCTCTCCATGGTCAAGGTAATAATTTGGTAGGTTAATCTGGTGGGCGGGTTTAAGGTGAGACTCAGATATGAGGATCACATCAGCTGCTCGATCTTCTGCAAGCTGCCTGAGCTCCAGAATCCTGCTTGGGAGTCCGTTCGCGTTCCAGAACAGGATATCTAGTGACTCAGGTTTCCTTCTTCTAGCGGGCATGCGGTGGATGTTGTGCAGTCAGGACACTGTTGTGCAGATCAGAGATTGCATGGCTAACATGAGATCAGTGATGATCCCATTGCTGACCCCCCCCCCCGGGGGCCTGATACAGCTGTCTGGTCTGAAAGTGCCGCGAGGCGCCGCAGATGGCGGCGGGCAGATCGGTTGGCTAGGTGAATGTTACCTTGGTGCCTGGGGGTAACGATCAGCTGCCTGAGCATAGCTCATCCCTCCGTGAACTTTCTTGGCTGGAGTACCATTAGTTTTCTTGGCGTCCAGCTGTGGCCAAGCTGGGCATCCCCTGTATCTGGCCGGATGAGCACCTCCACAGTTGGCGCACTTAGCCTCGGAATTCGGATTCTTCTTGCAGTCTGCATTGGCGTAATCCTTGCCACACTTGACGCTCTTATGATTTGCACGACAGCAGTTTTGAGCATGGCCTCATTTCTGGCATCTGTAACATTGTCCTACCACCTTCTTTTTGTGGAGGGCTTCAGGGTAGACGGCAACTCCGCAGACGCCCCTGATATTGAATAACTTGTCTCTGTCCTCCTTGGGGACTACAACAAGAGCCATGTCTATCTGTCTCTTGTTTTTCATCATGCGGCTTACTTTGATAGCCGGAATGCCTTTGGCTATCAGATCGCTTTTAACCTCGTCTAGGTCAACGTCTCTATCTAGTCCACGGAGGAGTACCCTGGCAGTTTTATCACATGCAAGAGGAAATGTGTGGTATAAGATTTTTTCTTTATCTAAGAACGCGGTGATGCCACGGTAGTCATCCACAGTCATCGGTTGAATGCGGATACCTTCAGGGGTTGATCTGGCTAATTTGGTTTTAAAACCAAGGGCAGTCATTCATTCATTCATTCAGCCAGTTCCCGCAGAAGCGGTGGTAGCGTTTACCATCTTGCTGGCATTCGACAGCGAAGACGGGGGTCGTCGTTTGGTCGAAGAAGAACCAGGGGAGTTTCTCAGTCTCTTCTTGCAGTCACTAGGACTAGAGTCGGACGACGAAGACGACTGGCATGACATCATATTGTCTATGAATGCCGATGTGGAGGGCTTTGGAGACGGCACTCGAATAACTGGGTGCGCAGCAGAGGATGCTGGCTTAATTTGTTTTTTCTAGTAACTAGACTTTAGCGGTAAGTTGCTGGTTTACTTTGATGAGGGCGGCGACCTCTTGTCGAGCATCTGAAGAGCATTAAAATGCTCGGAGTATCGCACCACCTAGGGGGCCAAAGGCGGGGTACAGAACTCATCGCTGACGGGATTCTCGTCAGGAGGGTCGAAGTAATCAAGGAGGGGCGGCATGATTACATGCAAACTTAACGGTAAAACAACGGAAAAACGTACTTAAAATTAAGAATAAGAAAACTTAAAATTAAGAAAAAGAAAACTTAAAATTAAGAATAAGAAAACTTAAATTTAAGAATCCTAATAACTAGTAACGAGTAATGAAATTCCAAAAACGAAAAGTAAATGAACGAACGAACAAAGAAAACAGCACAAAAGCTGTGTAGGCGCGTGGACAAACAAGCCCGGAGCAGGTCTGCACGTGTGCAAACAAGTTCGGGGCCAGCTCCACTTGTAACGCTGTGACTAAGAGCTGTACGGCTCAAACGCAGCACCTGTGTACACACACCGGAGAGCACGTAGACTGGACTGTACTGATCGGTGGCTCGTCGTCGACTGACTGAAAAAAAATTAACTCAGAAGATATATTTCATTTACATTTGTTTTAAAAGTCCTGTTTCATCCAAAAATAATAGGACAAACTCGACGGACCCTTTCCTGTTGTCGAGATCGACAACAAGGTCGCCACGTAGGCCCGTCCTTGCTCGCTGTGCCGCGTGTTTGTTGCAGTCCTCCACAATATGCTGCACAGTCAGAGGAACCCTACAGGCAGGGGACCTTCAGTTGCTGCTTAATTAATTGCTCGCTAGGTGCAAGTTGAAGATGCACCCAGCGAGAAAGTTGAAGTTGCTACCAAGTGCTCTGAAGTGCTGCCATATACGGGGAGCTTCCATGCCAACGTTAAAAACAAAAAACAAAAGTAACTATGCAGGACACGCACGCGCAATGTATTCATATATATTTTTTGTTCTTTTTTTATATATAATAAAATTAAAAGATAATTTCAATTTTTAATTTGCGAATATTCCTATATAGCAATTGATTACTTCAAAGATGCTCTACATTCAGGCAATGCTCATAGATTATCCTCGATTACTCTTGCATGATCCATGTATGATCTCCAGTGTGGTCCACATACTCCTTCCTCATATATGGTTCATAATTACTCGTGTACGATCTGTTGACGTGATGTGCTGTTTCAATGTATTGAAGATATTATCATTTAAACCAGGATCGATTCTAATTTTACTATCAAATCTCGTGAGTGTTGATTCTGATGGTAAATAAAATAATTTGACAAGAATTTATAACATTTTTTACTCTGTTTAAATGTACTGAGCGCAAATAATTTATTTTTGTATGTATATGATTCTCCCTTTTTTTTTTCAAAAAATTAGATATTTGGGACATTATAAAATTTTGGACATTAATATCCAATTTTTTAAATATTTCAAATTCTTTAGATTCTACTTTTAATTTTTGATTAACATTTCTTAAATAACGAATTTTTCTTAGCAATTTCCTTCTTAAAGCAGAATTTATTTCATTATTATTTTTTAAATTACCATCATCAACACTTACTCTTCCTATTGTATCTCTGTTGAAGTCATCTGAAGTGATACGACTGTTATCAATAGTTCTATTATCGCTGTCGACAACAATATCTTCAGATACAACATCAACTGGTCCACAATAAGAGTCATCTAAATTAATGATTTTTTTGGACTCTCAATATTATCCAAAATTGTATCTAATGGGTTGAGGCATGTTGGGTTGAAGTGTGTTGATGTTCCGTACAATTTGATGTTCTGCACAATGATTAAGGATTATTCTATGGATCAGGCTACGGTGTTTGAAATGTTGTGTTCTGGAGGTTTGTCAAGATTTCTAAAGGGAATGGAAAGATTGACAGCTATGGCGACTTCGCCAGAATGTGGTTTGCTGTGTTTGTGAAATATCTGGTGAGCAGGAATCTTCAGTGTATTCCGCTCAGTGGTATAGGTTTCTTGTTAATTTTGTCATTTCTAAGGAGATTGGAGATTCTTGTTTCGCCATTCGTTGACATTGATTGTGGCGATGTTCATATTTGCCAAGGTTAAGTTGATTGCGGCAGCGGGGGCACTATTTTCAAACTAAATGTACTTCATGCAATCTCATTTTTTTATAGTAAAATGCATTATTATTACATGTACAAGCCACAAAGCAAAATAAAACCTTTTAAAAAACAATCAGAGACTACAGACTTATTCTCGTTAAGCATATCAACTGCGAGGTCGAATGTTAATGGAGGAGATGACAACTGGGTGGCCAAATCGTCCGTGGAGTTTTTCGCCAAATCTTTCGTCCGTGGTGTTGATAAATGCAGTAGTCTGAGAGGGCGAACCTGGTGACCATGCCCTTATATACCCCAGAAGCGGACCGAAATTCCTACGTCTTCCTTATTTGGCATTTCTCGTTACATGCTAAGGTGGGGCGGTTTGTGTATATTAAGACACGTTAATTTCTCTGATACATCTCATAGTATATATTTATATCGAGTGTATAGAGCAGTCAATTGAAATTTTCAGCTTTCTATATTTGTTTCAACGAAGGACCAAGTTGTGCGGGTGCACAATAAGAACTCGGTCTGGTAGATTAAAGACGGCGGTTTATTTTACTTATAACAATTATTCACTACTATTTGACTATACCCAACTAACTCTCAACGAATAATAATTTTCTACCGTGCTTATCTTCTCCAAGCCAATCGTTCATTTTTTTGCCGACGCACGGTATTGGCACCATTTACATTCGCGCATTAGGCATATCTGGTACAGTGCATACTGGTATTATATACATTATAGTTATCTTCTCGAGAACATGCCCACATTTTCTTATCTTTGGATCCTTGGGAAACCGACCAAAACTGTGTTTTTCTATTGACAAACTCACCACGAAAAGATATATGTTTTTTTTTTCTGAAAATTTAGAAGACATCCTTTTTTAATGAATAATTATTATTAATAAGAATGAAAGTATTTGTTTGGATTTTAATAATAAGATAGAGGTATAATTTCATTTTTGTTTTATTAATTTTATAATTATTACAATGTTTTTTTTTTTTTCACTTTATACATGATATTTTATATTACGCAAGTCGGAAACGCGGTCGCCTGCTCCATAATGCATACACCTGTACTTATAATAAAATCATTGTCGTGGACTCGAACCAATACACGATTAAGCATTTGCAAAGTCCGGTCCCTTTTCTTGTGGCGGCAGAGTCCACTTCCCTCCAACATTCTCTCAATACATTGCATCAAATGAATAAGTATTATTGCTAAACAATGTACACGCACTTAAAATACTTGTAATAATAATAAATCGCAGCGGATATTTTGATGACAGGGGAAAAACAAATGGAACGAAGAAAGGAAACGAATTCAAAAAAACGTAATACAAAAATAATTTTTCACATCTGATATTGTCGAGTACAAATAATTTCCCTTCCCCCATAAAAAAGAGACGAAACGCAAAAATTCGTATAGAAATTTATCCTTAACCATTAAACAGTTTGATTATATCACAATAACATGAAGAATATTTAAGTGAGAGAAGAGTTTATTAAAACCTAACATTATGTATTTTTTATTTGATTTTTTGGATTTATTTAATTTGAACACTAAGAGAAAACGTGATGAGTTCGGAAGGTGCAAAAGTTGTGTTTCAGTTTTCAGTCTTTTGATTGAGCACTTCTATCTTCCAGGATTCAATCACATTTCCTTGAGCTGCATTTCGTTGGACTGAACTAAGTACGAGTCGGTCTATCAAAACAAATCTTCTCCCTACATACGATATGATGGCCAAGATTATGGTGATGAGGATGATTGAACAATTCCATCGTGTGTCGGCTGAAAACACGCGCATTGCTGTTTACCTAGTCTTCGACGAGTCGCCTTTAAATATGTTCAGGATTTTGCCGAAGCCGCGTTCGGGCGGTGGCGGCAACTCGTACAGGTTGCACTGACTCTTGAAGACGTTGTAGCGATTGGTAACGCTTTGCACGAGCCGCTGTTTGTAACGGAAGGCGGTCGTGTCGATGGTGGAGGCGGTGTTGATGCAATCGTCGCCTCCAAACTCGCAGATCCTATAGTGGTGTAGGATGGCAGCGTCGGCGGGAACGTTGAATGTGCCGTGACCGGGAATAAATTCCCAGACAAAGTGGTTGCCGGCTTCGACGACAAACTCGGGCCTACAGATATATTTGGACCGTTGTTTGTGGGGGTGCAGCTTTGACTTCCGTCGCACCTTCTTCAGAGTCACCAGGCCAGTGGCCACCGAATCGTCGCTTTCATACACCCAATCTCCGTCTCCCCACTGAAGATAGAAAAAAGCGTTCTGGAATGAAAATGATCCAGTCGACTTTGTATTTATTCTCGTTGTCAACCACCTATAAAAAAAATATATTAAATACAATCCTGGAATATACATATTAAAAGATATTTTTTTAAAGAAACATTTACTAAATTTCCATAGTTAAATATCAAGTAGACAGGAATAAATTTGAATTTACATGACCAATATAACAAATTAAGAAACAACTAAGAAATGAAGATGCTTTTGGTATTAATATTTTTGATAGAATTCTTAATAAATATTCTAGAGAACTTTTCATTACGAAATATTTATCAACATTGAAAGTTTATTTGTTCTATAGACGTGAATGAGTTAATCAAAATTTAAAAATCAGGAGAATTTGCATAAAGGCAATAACATATTCACCAAGACGGAAATACTACTATTAACTAAAATTGTTAATTAAATAATATATATTTAAATCATTATTAAATCAATACTCTTCAATAAACTGTAAAATTTAAATTATTTTTATTTATTATTAGAAAATGATCTTGATTAAAGTTTTCATTTTAACAAATTGGTATCTGAATTCAAATTGTTTAACTTTAAAAAGTTATCGAAATATTTCAATTAGGCGATGTTAACTTTCCAAATATCAATGACATTATTAAAACATTTGCACGAATTTGTACGAAAATTATAAATGCATTTTTATGAGTACCATTCTATTAATTTACACATTCGCATTATGTTCGCACACTAAGAAATAATGCTTTGTGCGTAAATTTAAATGATTACTTCGTGTACTGATAAGATAGTTTACAAACTCACTCTATCAATTGGGGAAGGGTGTCGTTGTGTCTGGGTATAATATACTCGTCCAAGTCTACGAGCAAGACATGCGAGTACTTGTACATGTTCCTATACAAGCAGTCGTTGAGTGCGGCAAATAGGCCTTCCGTTCTGATCTCCTTCTGCGACAGCATATTCAACTGCCACGGCAGAAGACTCACTATTCCCTTTTCGACGTAATCCTTCAGGATACAGCCCACTTGCTTGCCAACAGTGTGATTGTAGAAAGTGAAATGCTCCACGCCCAGGATCCTATTGAGCTCGATGAATTCCAAAATCTGAAGAGCCTGTACACAGAAATAAATAAATTGAAACCAACTCAAGACAAAGTTAAATCAGGATTTGCAGTCAAGCAAATAATGTATGTGCTTATTTGTATTAGGAGCAACAAGTTTCCGCTAAAGTTTCTCATTACCTAGCAGTAATTGCAGGCGAATAAAAAACATCGCTTTATGCGGAATAAAATTACTATTAACAACCATAATAACTAATAATGATTTTTTAGAATTAACTAACATTTTCCATTAATGTAATTGATTTAAAAAAATGTATAAATTTAATCTAAAACTGCAAAGAGTCTTTATTGATCTTTCAATAATTTCCTAATTTATATAAAACTATCATAACAATAGAAATCAGTATGTGGTGGTAAACAAAGATGTAACAAAAATATTAATGCATATATAGTACGAGATTTTTAGACAGGATTATTGAACTATAATTATGTATACACTGGTACCTAGGAATGCGAATAACTTAATTTGCGAGTGTTTTCTAAGGATCAAAATAATTAATAAATTTTAACTTGATAAACGAGCTCGGTCTTGCAATACGAGAATTGTCTATACTCTAATCTTACATTCCGAGAGTTTTTGAAAAATCATTTCCACATTTTAAACCTCAAGATCATTAGCTTTGAAATACAAACACTGTATAGCTTTGAATATAATATTTATAATAATTACTATCTGTATGTCACACATTTATATCTGTTTCCAGTTCATATTATTCATAATTTTATATTTTCAAAAACATACATTCAAATAGCCAAATGTGTTTCACGTTAATCATCGCAATTTTCCATAGATCATAATTAAAAGGTACTTAAATAATCATAACCAAATAAAAGAAATAATTAGCTACTGGTAGTTGATTAATGCTTCATTTTTTCTTATTTTTACGTGAAATGAAATATAACTGTAATCACAAACCCAACTATAGAAATTGTATATTTTTGTGTTTTAATTAATTTAGAAATGTCTCGTTCAATTCACCTTTGATTTATCAAATAATTCAGTCCATTAATTTAAAATAACTTTAATTTCCTCACTATATAGATGCGATTAAATTGAGTTTCTTTCGTTTTTTTTTTAAAATATGTTTCATACATTTATATATATAAACATAATTTTTGTACAATGACTACTGACCGCAGTCTTTCCGCGCACATTATTTATTATCTGAAAAACATATTTTATTGTCTCTATTAAAGTAGATTAAAAGGTTCAGCTGTCTGACTTTTTTATCTATCTTATAACGATCTAAGGCATTTGACGGCCACGCACTTTATGTATATTCGCATCGCAAAAGTGGGAATTCCCCGAATTCTGTATCAATATAGACGGGTGAGATCGTGAGTTTACTTTTAATTTATAAAAAATAAATAAATGATATTTAAATCGTTGTTCATTGTGTATTTGTTATTTTCGATAGACCACAAAATAGACACCAAAGTAAAGCATTAAACAAAATCTACAAACGAGTTCCATATATAAACATGTGTATAATGTAGTGCATTGGATCAGAATCAATTAACATGAGGATTTGGTATTGTTATGTCCAAGTATGCAACCAAACTTGCACATGTCGAAGCGACAGGCGAGTTATAAGTTAAAAAGCAGCAGATGTATGAACATAAGTTAAGTAGTAAAACAAAAAAAATATCTAAGTATTACTCTGACCCATAATAGGTATATAGAATTACGTATTTCTGCATTTTTTTTATAATTATTTTTGAATGGCTACATTAGCTCGGAAGCGTTTATATAAAGTTTTTTCTTATTAATTTAAATATTTATTTCGACAATATTATCACATTGGCACTGATCCATTTGGTATCAAGATATTTGGTGAACGTTTACTAAATTTGGAAATCATTATATTTAATCACTCCATAATATATTAAATTTATTTTAATCAGTTATACAATATTCAAATTCAGTGTGTTATATTTGTATCGATAAAATATATGAAAACCTTAACTGTTATTAGAGCATGAAAACATGGTGCCTATTTTAAATGCCGATCTCTATTCAGGAAGGATTCCTTTATAGCTTCAGAAGCAAAACAAAGCGCATCCCTTTGAAGTCATGTCCTGCCGCGCTCGCTTTTTAATGAGTCCGTTTTTTTTTCTCTCGCTAATTTGCCATGGATCCCTTTGCAAATATCACTTTTTCACGTTTCAGCTGGTCATGATCGAAGTAAAGCTTAAAGTGTACTCACTCTATTGTAATCGAAATGCAGCGGTTTCACGCAAACCGCGAACTTTTGCTCGACGACTTTGGGCCTCGACTCGTTAAAGTTATTGTTCACGTGGAGCAGATTGGCAGGCGCCAACTTCACCTTGGCCACTATGGAAACGGCACTGGGTATACTTTGATTCCGTTGGAGTGGACATAGCATGAAACAGGCACTGTACTTTAAGTTCCAATTCTCGCGGATCACCTAAACCCAACAAACAATTACGCTCATAATCTGAAGATTTTTCTATTAAGGATTATTATACCTTTATCTTAGCAGGTACCGTCCTGGACATGTAGTGCTGTTGCGTGCCATTATCTGGTTTCGTCTTGTACCACAGTCGACACCAGACCCTTTCTGGGCCACGTGTCTTCGTCGCCCCAATGACGCGGATAGCGCGTTGACCTTTCCTGTTGTCGAAGAACGCAGAGAACACGTAAAATTTGTACCTGAAACCTCGTGAATTAGCGAACAACGTTAAATGTTTATATGTTCTAAATACCTTGTGCCATTGACGGTTTGCCAGGAGCCGTCCGCGGGACGCCAATTCCCAGCAAACTGGGGCAGCTGGCCCTCGGTCAGGACCTCGTTTTGACCTCCGGTTTCTACGTGGATCTGCACTGGAGCTGCAACTCTGCGACCCATAAGGACGGCCTCGATCGTATCGTCCACTTGGCCACCCATCCTCACTGATAAATAATCATCCCCCTATCATCAAATACGCATAAGAATCCGAAAACAATAAACGAAACTAAACGAGTAAACAAAAATGATTGAATGGCAACTACAGAAAATCAGTAAAACCAGAGGAAATTTGTAAGTGCGAACGGTGCATTTCCCTTATCCGGTCCGTGTGTCCAGCCCAAATATAACACGAATGGCAAATAACCATAGTGAAATGTCACTTTCAGAACATCGATAACCGTCTGCAGACGTTCTTTCGCTTCTTTCGACATTTCAAACATTTTAAACAATTTCTCAAATTTTCTATACAATTTAAATTACAATTGTCAAAATTTATCAACCAACTATGATCTTAGATATTCTGCGTATTCATTGGCTGATAAGGATAAAAATATACCATTTCACGCATATATTTTGTTTCCATGTGATATTGTTTTGACGTAACAGAAAATATTATTTATTGAAACAACTTGTTGCTGAATTAACTATACTTTATCATTATAAATTATAATTAATTTGAGGATATTTGCAATTATATACAAATGGTGAAAAATACCCATTCCGTGATCTATCAAATGATGCTAATAGAAACAAAATGCAACAATTGTTATTCCAAAAAAGGAAATAGCTGGTTTAGGAACGGGGGTTTACCAGCTTTAATATAAATGATTGTAATACTTGCAAAATATAATATATAAAAGGTATACACAGATTTGATATAATAAACGCGTTTAATTTAAACGATATACTGCGTTTTTTTATTTATTTTTATATATTATTTTATAATCTAATAATTTTGAACAATTTAGTTTTTAAATTCATTGAACCGTTCAAAACTTTGAAGTGTAGAAATGCAATTATTCTCGACTGAAATACAAATGTTCTAAAACGAAATAAATAAGATAAAGGCTAATTGTATAATAGTATTTTAACGCAGGGAAAGAAAATTAATTGATATATTATGATAGTAAAAGAAAATTTTCAATGTTTCATTAATATTACTTATTTCATTATACATATTACATTTTATAATATTATATATTAGTAAAAATAAAGTATTTTACAAACATATAAAATAATTGATTGCCAATCAGTAGTTATTTTTTGTAACTAAATATTGAATAGTATGTATTAATGTTTGTTAGATACGAACCTGTAGGATGTCATCGTACTCGTTCCGGTCCTGTCGATTATGGTAAGCCAAAGAACCGTGTCGGACAAGCACTCCGGCCCCACGACCCCTCTCATCAATGAGGAAGATCTCGGTGAAGACGATGATACCGAATACAGCAAAGAACATAACTACGATGAAGAAACTCATGTTCGCCCTCTGTTTGTTTCTCAATGCTGAATACCGTTGCGACTTCGATTTGCTACCGCTGGCACCGCCGTTGCCACCGCCGCCGCTCGAGGCCCCCATTTTTCTGAACCTGAAAATTGATCAATCAATCTAAGCCTCTTGAATTTCACCTGCACAATTACGATATTCCTAGACTTCGCTAGGTAACAGAACGCCGATAAATGCAGATAGCATTACGATTATTTTTATTTACGTTTCCAGACCGGTCTCGTTGACTTACGCGGACAAACCACTCTACCTAAATAACTATTTGCATCGTTTTATGCGATTTCCCGGTGGAGAAACTCGAACCGACTCTGTCGCCCACTTTGCATCATTTAACCTACGTACTTACATCTAATTTTTTAGCTAAGTAAAATTATAGTCTATGATCATGTTGCAATCTCAGAGGCAAAAATTACTAGCACTCACATATAAAAAAATCGACGAGACAAATCTCGGCTTATTTGCTTAGATTGGATGTCCCTGCATTTCGAATAAAACATTCAACGTCCACCTTTTCACCAATCAACAACGTTCCTCCTACTTTATACCCGGCGAACGGCGAAGGCTATACAAATAGAATTTATCACCGAAATCCCCACGAGAGAAGATCCGAATGCAATTTATATGAAGTTGTGGATCCCTCTATTTTATTATGTTCCGGTGCGAATAGAACAAGCAAACAGTGTGCACTGTAATATTAAATTATTCGAGTGAAATGGTAAATCTTTTATTTTGGCAATAATATATGCCGATTCGAGAATTGGCAAGATATCTTGTTGTTTCCTAACTTTAATACTCCACGCCATTGGTGCACAATGCGGATACATTAATATTTGATTCGTTTAACACAAAACGGTGGTGCATCATATCCAATATATATGATATACAATAGCGGTTCTCAACCTATGGGTCGCAATATGTAATGAATTGCAAAATGACAACTTCCACCTTATGTAAAAAAAAAGTATAGTATATAGTATATATAATATTTGTAAATGTAGATGTGTCAACTAAGTAAATCAATACATTTACTAATTTATCAATTAAATTTACATTAGAACCATAGTTTACTTAGAAGTAATAAGTAGCTTGGTATTATTCAATTTATTTTTATTAAAATATTAGGTATTATTATGTCTTTAAAATAAAATAATGTATTTTTTTTATAAAACTAAATTTTTTTAAATTTATTAACTAAAATATTTAAAAACTGAGTTATATTATTTTCTATCAATGTAGTAATTGTTTTTAAGTTAAAAGTAATTATAAATTGACAAATTTAAATATTAGAAACATAAGGGTTCATAAACATTGGTTATTGTTTTACAAAGTTTACTATTTACGTTTGGCATATTTTTTTGCTAATTAATTATTGTTCTATTTAGTGAATATTTTTTTTGTAGATATTTAATAATCTGTAAACTGATATTTACTACGTTCTAAACTTTTATTACATACATAAAAAAAAGTCGTATATGGTAAAAACTCACGCATATTTTCGTCATGTACGTACTTGATGAAGAAGAATGTAACTCGCGATTATATTCAAATTTCAATATGTCGTGAAACCGGATTTATTATTTGCGCAGAATATTGTAGTTGGTACTTATGACAGAATTTTAATTTTCGCGATTTTTTACTTTTTTTAAATATTCATATCCAGTTCTTACTGAGAATTTAAATGTGTCAAATCTTATTTAAATCATAAATTTGTTCGAATTTTCTTATTTCAACCAAAGCTACACCATCTTCGGACAATAGATTTAATAATTTAAAGGCATTTTGTATGTAATGGAATATTAATTTTAACGAAATAAATTATAATCATTTTATTGGTGTATATTCCTAAATTCTAAAGAATTGTGGAAAATTTATACATAGCCATTTTTGACGTACTATTGGAGAACTTAATTTTTGGGAATGCAATAATGCCTCACATGGTGCTGATTCGAACAGTGCGGATTCACTATAATCCGGTTTGAAAATTTCAACTAAATTTTTAATGGATCAAAGCAAACATAAATTCGAAAAAATAATAAGTTAATAAGATAAATGGTCAGTTATTTATCTATACACTTAGGTCTCCAATTTATAATAATGATAATAATAATAATGTTTATTGCATCAGTCTTACAAAAAAAAAACATATACAGAAATAAAAAGAACAAAATAATTATATACAATTTCAAAAAAAGTACAAATAGCACCTTGTACTATTGACCATAGGTCTTTCTGCCCTCCAAGTTATATTTGTACAAATTTTAGGAAAAACTATTAAAACTGATGTTTTTTGCATAAAAAAGATAACTGTCAACCTACTATATAAATTAACTACTTATTATATAGCATGATAACACTGATCTATTTTATATTTGTATTTTATTCCGCATTGCGTCAATTCGATATATATAATTCATCACAATTACGTCATATGGAAACAAAAAAATATACGTAAATGAACATAAGCTCAAAATTTTCGTTGACACAAACTATTTTGTTTTAAAAAATTCTTCAATTTCATAGAACGAAAAACTTACGGCTCATAAAGTATTTTTTAAAGTTAATTTTTTTATTTGTAGGTTTATATTTAGAATTAATTCGAGTCTTATAATATTCTAAACAAATAGAGTAACAATAAAAAAAAGGCTATAATTTATTAAGTTAATTGTCAAATGTTATTATATTTTTAAAAGTTGTTAGCAAACTGGTCTATTAATCATACAGATTACAGTATTACCTTGAAAAAATTCAAATATATCCTTAATGACGGCGATGATATTGTAAATTATAGATGTTTTGAATAAAAATCTATGAACAATTATAAACTGTTGGTTGAAAAACTTCACTCACTATTAAAAATTGAAACATAGTCACAATTAAAATAAGAACTTAGTTCGGTGTTTTTATTATGGAGTGCTATCTCGGTGAATGAGGGTATATCTACAAAAATAATTTCATCTTATCTACCAAACTCCTGGTCATATATAGATTACAGCTAACCGTAAAGAGACTGCGTGAGGCATTTCGTTATCTTTGACTCAGCAAGTGCACTGATTAAAGACAAAGAGTTCAAGGCTAAAACTATTAAGTATTAAAATCTAGATTTGTATATAAGCTGTGCTTAATTTTGTTACAATAAACACAAGCAATTAGACAAACAAAACAATATTTATTAACTTTTCTCGTTATCATTTAATGCAGATTATGACATTCAATATAGAAACAAACAAGAATGATAGTCAATGATAATCAACAATCCAAATAATCAATAAGAGAGATGCGATTACCAATTAAAAATGTATAAACTAATGTAAATATAATTATTTGTATCAACAATATAATATTTAAAAAAAATCATTGCGATCAATGAAGATATATTTTTTTTGTTATTGTTGGCATTACATACGGCCAGCAATATTTCAATTTATTATGCTCGTTTTTGATATGCATAATGTATCGAAGAATCGTATATTCGTCATTCATTTACAATAAATACATTTGTAGCATTGGTTGCATACAAAACACGAGATATACTTTTTCTACGTCATGCATACATTAATAAAGTGATCATGTAGGATAAAAAAATAAAGAAGAGAGCATCATATATCATTTTAATTAAACAAATGCACGTGCTTCCTTCCTTCGGTTTTTATGTCCATATCCATAAACCTTATGCATATCAAAAACGAGCATAATAAATTGAAATATTGCTGGCCGTATGTAATGCCAACAATAACAAAAAATAATAATGTGTAATACAGTAACAATAGTATCAAAAAGAACAAAGGCACACAACGAATCTCTGTCATAATGTTGATTTTTTTACATTGTTTTTGGTGTATGTGTGTGTTTTCATTTTGGTCCGTGGGGCTTTTTGTTGGATTTGCATATTAAATTGGGTTTGCATTTAAATTAGACCGTGCTCTTCCTCCCGCGAATGGTTTCGGCAAACCATTGGCATGCGCTGATTCCCCGGACGAAATTCATTATAATTCCCCGATAATTCACCGAATCCGGAATGGAAATTCCCGGATTGACGATGTACATTTCCGAATCCCGGTTGCGTCAGCTGAACGGAATCTTGGTGATTGTTTGTCAAATCTTCGCCAGGAATGAAAAATTGTTTGTGTCATATTTTATTATTTAGTTACGACGATACTGTCACGTTTCTTTCAGTCTGGAGGATTATTTTATAAAAAATTTAAGAAACTTTCAGAAATTATCATTGCAAGTTATTTTATAAGATATAAGATTTCAGTTTCATGTTTTAAAATGTTAATTATACTATTTAAATATGTCTAAAAAAGTTTATCTAAAGTACGTTCTAAAGAATTCCTTTTTTATATAATTAAGAAAAATGGATCATATCGTCCTTTTGAAATATAATACGAAATATTGTATACAGTGGGACCTCGCTTAACGAGTAATCCGTTCCAAAAATTCCGTGTTTTTACTCGTATAGTGAAACACGTTTTCCGGTATAAACTAATGTAAAATACGATAATGCCGAAGAAAAAAAACTGAAAAAATATGTTTTTTAACGTTTATTAACAAAAAATTATATAAACATTTTTAAGGCGATTCTCGCTTCATTTCCTCTTACTCGAAATGAACCATTTTCAGAAAATAATTAATTTATTAAATAATAATAATGTTTATTGCATCAGTTGTGCAGAAACAGAAATAAAAAGAACAAAATAAATATATTTTAAAAAAGTCAACTGATACAAATGGCTATTGATTACAGGTCTTTCTGCCCTAATTTATTATTTATGATACATACCTAATTATTTTTAACTAGAAAGCTATCTAGAGTCATTTGTTTCTGCCGATGCTTCAAAATTTGATAAAAATGCACGCATAGCTACTGTCTTGTTAGGGTGATGCGTTTTAATGTAGGATGCAACTGTTTCGCATGATTTCAACATTTCTTTTATTTCGCCTGAAGGTTATTGCTTTTCTTTTACCTCTTCTTCCACTGACATTTACTCCTGGGTTTTCTGAATGGTAGACATTTAGCGGTTTAATTTTCAAATAGCCGCTTGCATTGGCACAAAATAGCAGCGTGAGGCGGTTTTTCATTGG